TTTTGAAGCAACAAATGAAAAAAGCAAAGAAACAAACAACTCACAAATGGTAACATGGTGGTGAGGAAGAGAATAAAAGGAAGTGAAGGAAGAAGACTAAACTTCACAATAGCGTATACAGATGTCCTATTACAACATTGTGCACCTGAAATTTACATAATGTTATTAACCAGTGTTAACCCAATACATTTAATTTAAAAACAGTCACATATTTTTTGTTCTTTGGTAGAAGTGTGTGTGTGTGTGTATGTGTGTGTGTGTGTGTGTGTGTGTGTAAAGTTTAACATCAACCTGACATAAGGCCAATCCAGGGAATAAGAAAAGAGAGGGTCCTCAGAGATCAGCATAGATTTAGCTCCTTTCTTAATCCTTAATCTTATAGGAGGGACCTCTGCATGCTTTTAGCACTTCAGGATTTTATTGATGTGTCTCCATCACATTATTTTATATACTAATTCTATCAGATCTGTTAGGTTTTCAAGCCCACAGACAATTAAAAGGAAGAGGAGTGGCTGACGTAGAAATGATACTATTCTAGGAAGAAGAAAACTACCCAAAAAATCCAGAAATAAAAAATTCTAACAGCATAGCAATATAGAACACAGCTTAAACAGCAACCTCAGAACTTTTGTGGCCAAACATGATCCATTGATTAGTGAAGGAAGAATAGATTGTATTTAAAATAATGTTAAATTATAAATTTTGACATTTAATTGACCTTTAATCAACTCACTAATGTGAAACATATGACATGAAAGTCTTCAATTTTAAAATAGTTTAGTCCACATGTATTTTGACCTATGAAATCCACGATGCTTATTTAAGAGTCAGCACTTACCATAGCATGTCTTGAGCACACAGGGGGCACAGAGTGTAGTAGGAAAAGAAGGCCTATGGTCCCTGACCTCTAGGAACGTGCCTCCTGAGAGGAGACTGAGCCTGAAGGAACAAGCCATCATAAGTTTGTGTTTCAAACTGTGGAAGAGTAATTTGATCAAGGGCTGTAAAGCCTTCTTAGGGGAGAGGTAAATGTGAAATGAACTCAGCAAAAAAAATGGGAAAGATGCATATCTATAAATATATATTAAACCAAAAATATTGCGGCTGTCTCTTCAATTTACTGTTGAAAGAATATTCAGCTTATGCCCCAAAAATCCAAAAGCTAATAGGATGTTCTTTAAAGCAAGCACAACACCTCATCTGGTAAAAAGCCTGGCACAATCACTTAAAATCTTGCCAAGGACCTTCCGTTTATTCTGGAAGGCCAGAATCTGTGACTGGTGAAAAAGAGGAAATACTTTACTTTCATGTTCTTCTTTTGTTGTGTCCAGATGCCTGTGATGACCTACTAACATTCCAATCTATGAAACCCAAGGGTTATCCTGAACCCCCTTATCATCCCGGGGACACAGTGGAATATGAGTGTCGCCCAGGATACAAGCATCGTTTTCCTGTTCTTTCCATCTCTGCTGTCTGTCAGCCTGACAACACATGGGCACCTCTCCAGGAGGCCTGTACAAGTAAGTACGCAACATTTTTATTTTTATTGCTCTAAAGATTTTCACACATTGTAGACTCCGTATTCCACTATTGCCATGATGGCTTTCTCATGTGGATGTAGATTTTAGGTAGCACTGTATTTTTGCAGGCCTTGAAAGTCTCCTGGCAATTTTTTATTTGGCTGTTAACGCTCTGGGTAAATGTGAATCTTAAGTTTGGCCATTAGTGGCAACAGGGATGGACCTCGAGAATATTATGCTAAGCGAAATAAGTCAGTCAGAGAAAGTTAAAAGAACCGTATGATTTCACTCATATGTGAGATATAAAACTGAAACTCATAGACACAGACCGCAGTTTGGTGGTAACCAGGGGGGAGAAGGGGGGTTTGTGGAAGTAGTACAGGGTAAGGGTGACTAAATTTATGTGAGAGAAGATGGTTTGATGTTGGGTGGTGGGCACACAAAGCAATGTACAGATCATGCATCATAGAAATGTACACTTGAAGCCTACGTATGCTTATTAACCAGTGTCACCCCAATAAATGTAATAACAATAAATAAGAAGAAAAATATTTCTATCAATTTAATAGTGCAGTGTAGAATTTGTATTTTGATTCAAATCGGTTTTGAAATGGGTATAAACAAATGTGAAAATTTCCCTTTTAGAAAAGTCATGTCCACAGCTAGAAGAACTACTAAATGGACAAATAAAGTACAAGAATGAAAATCTGGAGCTTGGTTCAGAAGCTCAGTATAGTTGTAATGAGGGGTAAGTGAGCTGCTCCTTGGAGAAAGAAGGTAAATGTTGCTGGTTCCATTTTTGGTTTGGTTCTCTTCTCAAGCATTTCCATTATGTTGATCTCATCTTGCTTTCTGTGGAACAAGTTATACTTACAGCCAATTAACCCTTGGGCTTTTTATGGAGACTGAAAAGCTGTGCAATAAATAGAAAGAAATTTAAATTAAAGAAAGACAAAATTGTATCATACTATCCTATATAAGAAAACCCTAATATGCAAATTGACCAAACAGTGGAACGACCGGTCGCTATGATGTGCACTTGACCACCAGGGGACAGATGCTCAATGCAGGAGCTGCCCCATGGTAGTCAGTGCACTCCCACAGTGGGAGCACCAGTCAGCCAGAAGCTGGGCTCATGGCTGGCGAGTGCAGCAGCAGTGGCAGGAGCCTCTCCTGTCTCCACTGCAGGCAGGCGGTAAGGAGCAAGGGGTTCCAGATTGTGAGAGGGCACAGGCCGGGCTGAGGGACACCGCCCAGTGCACGAAATTTCATGCACCGGGCCTCTAGTAAATAATGATAAGGCTATTTTAGTCATTAAAAATGTAGTAACTGTGATGACATGGTCCTACATTAAACTATAATAGATCAAAGGGTGGAAAGAGAGATGGGGAATTAATCAGTTAACAGAAGGAAGGGCAGGAATTAATGAAATATGTGTTGAAACTGAATGAACTTCCAGAGGTACTTCAGAATAATGTGAATATAAGAGCTAGTATAGCTCCTATTCATTAAGGGGTAGCTGACCACCAGATTTCACCGCATCCTGCTTCCACATGAATGTTCACGCTGTTGCCAACAAATAATCCAAAAGCAGCAAACACTTCTTCCTACAGACTATACACCTATCCCAGAACTAGCCCCACTTACCCTTCTTCTGCCCCCTTATCTATAGACAATGTGAATTCCTTCAAAATAACTTACATCTTTCTGCTCAAAGCTGTAAAAGAACCCCATTAAACCAGGATGGCGGAAATGCTTGCCTTCATCTCCCTGCTGCTGCTGGTTTAGACTGCATGCCCCGGACCTGGTTTTGCTGGTGGCCATATGGCTAGTCAATAAACCTGTTCCTTCAGAAAATCTGGCTGTGAAGGGTTTTGTTTCACAACTTTATCCACTTTGTGGTTAGAGAAAATACATTACATGATATATATATTTTTTAAACCTATTGATTAGTTAATATTAATTTGTGGCTCAAAGTATGGAAGATGTCCCATGTGCATTTGAGGGGAATTTGAATTCTGTTCTATGATGCTCTATGTCTGTGAGATCTAGTTGTTGAAGTCCTCTATTTTTCAGTCTTACTTATTTCAGTCTGTTGTGCAATCTATCATTGTGAGTGGGATATTGAAGTCTCCAACTATTACTGGAGAAATGCCCGTTTCATTGAAATGTGTATTTCTCTCTACAGTTGTGCCAGCTTTTGCTTCATGTATTTTGAAGGTCTCTTATTTTGTGCATAAATGTTTATAATTATTATATCTTCTTGCAGTATGTGAAACTGATTAAAATATAATATGCTGCTTGTGTCTTACAACCTTTTCTGATTCTAAGTCTATTTTGCCTGAATTAGTATAGTGATGCTACCCTCTTTTGGTGACAATTTGCATGGAAGATTTTTTTTCCATCCGTTCACTTTGCACTTGTTCATCTGTTTGAATCTCAGGTGAGTCTCCTGTAGACAGCATATAGTTGGATCTTTTGTTTTTATCCATTCTGCCCATGTCTGCCTTTAGATTGTGGAATTTAATCCATTTAAATTTAAAGTAATTATTGCTCGGCCAGAATTGCTTAGTGATTAAGTGTCAAACTGTGAACCAGGAAGACACATTTTTTATTCCCTGTCAGGGCAGATGCCTATGTTTCAGGCTTGATCACCAGTGAGGGACATGCAGGATGCAGCTGATCAGTGTTTCTCTCTCACATTGATGTTTCTTTCTCCCCCTCTCTCTTCCCCTCTCTCTAAAATAAAATAACACATATTTTTAAAAATTCAAAATAATTATGGACAAGGAGGAAGCTATTTCTTTTTGAAAGCTTTTTTTGCCCCTCTTTTCATGCAATTCTCTTTTCATTTGCAAGTTAACTCTTATAATGAAATGTTGTAATCCCCTACTCATTTTCTGTTGTGTATATTCTATAGTGATTTTGTTTCCAGTTCCCAGGGGGATTACATTTAACATCCTAGACATATAACATTATAATTTGAATTTATAGCAACTTAAATTCAATAAATTATAATCATGGATCCTTATCAGCTCCATCCCCATCCTTTTCGGTTGTTAATGTCATACTACCATCCAAATAATAATTGAAATACTGGCTTCTATACCATTTCTTTTCATTGTAAGGTTAGTTTCTTAAATCACATAGAACATAAAAATACATTTACAAACCATTGTTATAATAATACTAGATTTAATAATTGCCCGTGAATATACCCACACTGAGATGTTGATCCATAAGGCATGACTTAATGTAACCAAAAAAACATAGGTTCAGCTGTCTGCTGCAGGGAAACCAAACTTGTGAGGCAGGTGCTGGTGCAAAAGAAAAGAAGTTTTACTCAGATGCCCCAAGATCTCGAATTCCCAGCTCAAAGACCTCCCCCGCTTCTTGTCCAAGCACCCAGATTTTATATGGATAGGGAGGGGAAGGATATTTTCCTATGAAATTATCTTGCTAGCTTTTGGCAACTCGGGTCCTGTCCATTCATCTTCAGAGCTTTTGGTGCCCTAAGTGTAAGAATCAACCCCAGTACCATCTTGGCTCCCCAGTGCAAGGACTGACTGTCCAGGTAACATTATTCTCTAGTGTCCTTTAAGTTCACCTTTTAGAGCACCCTTAAGCATTTTTTGCATATAAGGTATAGTGGTAGGAAATTTTCTTACCTTTTATTTTTAAAAAGTCTTAATAGTTCCCTCACGATAGAAGCACAGTTTTGCTATAGAAAGGATTTTTGATTGAACTTTTTTTTCTATCACTTTGAGTCTATTAGTTCAATGTCTTCTGGCCCCAGGCTCCTGATGAGATATCTGCTATTTAGTTGGGTCACTGACCGCTTTTCCCTTAGATTGTCAAATAAAAAAATGGCAAGCCTGGCCAGCATGGCTCAGTGGTTGAGCAACAACCTATGAACCTGGAGATCACGGTTCAATTCCCGGTCAGGACACATGCCTGAGTTGCTGGCTCAATCCCCAGTGTGGGGCGTGCAGGCAAAAGATGAAAAAGGTTGAAAATGGCTGACATAGATATTCTCAAAGAAGTTTTGAGAAGTTAGCTTCATTGAGAAGCACAATATATACAGAGGTGTCCAAGGAAAATAGCAAACAGTAAGTACTACAGAAATAGACTTGTTCATGATCCTTATAAGGAGAGTCCAGAAGGAGGAGAGAGTTCTGTGAATTACAATCATCAGAGATTCCAACGAGGAGGGGTCTCTCTGAGCTCTACCTAGGAAGCCACTCTAATCACCAAAAATGTGCCTAGCACTCCAATGTTTCTGATGATAATTCACCTGCTACTCAAAACCACCCCATGTCATATACACCTTTCCACAGATGGGGAATTTAAGAAAAAGAACCAGCCCAACCAGTTTGACTCAAAGTTTAGGGCGCTAGACTGTGGACTGAAGGGTCCCAGGTTTTATTCTGAGCAAGGGCACATACATTGATGTGTCTCGTACACATCCATATTTCTCTCTCTCTCTCTCTCTCTCTTCCCTGCCTTCAACTGTCCCTAAAAATTGATTGAAAAGATATCATCAGGTGCGAGTTAACAAAAAATTAAAAAATAAAGAGAAACATTAAGCAACTTGTCCAAGCTCAACAAACAAGTCAGTCTTGGAGCTGGGGCTTGAATGCAGTCAGGTCAGTGCTGGGGCCAGATCTGGCTGCTGAGTCATTGCCCTGACAGAGCAGAATGGCATGAGCAAGGACACAGATGTGACTGTGCTGTGCCTGCCAGAGCTAGCAATCACCAGACTGTCAGGCGTGACAGGTTTATTTAGACACTTTGCTCTAGGCCAACGTGTGTTCATATGAAGAATCTCTGCATTTAATTACATTGCAGATTCAGTTAACACATTCTATACTTGTCACTTCAAAAACTCCCTGAAGCTACTGTAGTGCCAAAAAACAACCATATAAAAACTTCTTCATTATTATGTGTTCCTGTTAAGTGATAAAGAAAACAATAATGATTTCTTTTCTCATTTAGTTACTATTTACATGGAACAAAAATTCTACATTGTGAACTTTCTGGAAACTATGTGGAATGGAGTGATGCTCCACCACATTGTGAAGGTAAGTACATTCTCTCTTTAGAATTTAGAGCAGCAGTTCTCAAACTTTTTGGCCTGGAGACCCCCATATGCTTTACAATTAACCAAGACCCCACAGCGCTTTTCTGCAGGTGGGTTAGTGCTATTGATATTCCTTATATTGGGATTAAAACAGAGAAGATTTTAAATAATTATTTACTAATTCATTTTTAAGAACAATAATCTCAATACATGTTAATAAATGCAGCATATTTTTGTCCTAAGATCAAACATTTCCAAAACAGTGGGAAGGGTGTCATTGCTTTACGTTTTTCTAATCTCTTCAGTATCTGGCTTAAAGGAAGAGCTCCACATTCATCCTGAGGCTCATCAGACAGTCTCAGGCCATTGGAAAATGTCCCTGTCCACTCTAAGGGTGACAGTGAGAAAAGACAAAATCAGGCATACCTGAGAACCACTGATTCAGGAATGGATGTAGCATTTCTCAACTAGCACTGAGTTTTACTAAATCAAATTTTCTCATTAAATTGTCAGCATCTCTTATGACTAGAAAAAACTTAACATGGCCTTACAGATACACACAAGTCTTTCATACAGGTATCTCTATGGGTATTTAAGAAAATGGGTTTTATTCTAAAATTTCAATTCTCTATTAATAGTTTGAATTGGGATAATACATTTCTTTCTATACATTTTTAAATGTTTATTGAATTTGCTACTAGATGTAGAAATCATATGATAATGAACTATTGAGGGCAGTTCATAGGACACTACTAATGCCGTCTTAATCTTTTACTTTTTCTTTTGCCTTTCCTGTCCTTTTTTTTTCTCTCTCTCTTTTTAAGAGGTTTGGTGTAAACCACCTAAACAAATACCAAATGGGAGATTCACCAACAGCCACAAGGATATATTTGAATATAATGAAGAAGTTATTTATAGTTGCAATCCTTCAAAGGGACCAGACGAATATTCCCTTGTTGGAGAGAGCAGGCTTGTTTGTATTGGGCTTAACCAATGGAGTAGTGACCCGCCTGAGTGTAAAGGTGATATAACATTTCCATTTCTTTCCCTCCCGTTTGCAAACAGTGTGGAAACTTTTACCAACTTTTCAATACTTTGGCCAACAAGTAAAAACACAAACAAACAACAACAAAAACAGCCATATATGCTTGTTCCTCCTGTTATATTTGTTTCTAATATAATTTTATGAGTGAACTAGAATAAAAATAATTCTGCTTGAAGAGTTTCCCACTGTTCACCATGTATGTCCTTGACATTCCTGTTTATACATTGTTAATTACTACGTATATGCATGAGTTAAATTTTTTTGGCTAGAAAGCATCAAAAAACACACACTGGCTTTAAGGAAGTTGTATCTCATAATACAAGAAGTTTGACAGTTCTGGCTAGCCAAAATGGTAGAATAAATTGTAAGAGATTAACCCTCTCACCAATCAGATTGATAAAGGCAAAGCATGCAGGCTTACATTGCTTAATTGTGCTTTGCTTTATTGCCCTTCACACATGTTGAGTTGTATTTTGAGAATTGAATACCATAACCCAGCAAAACAACTGTAACCTTCTTTACTTCAATACTCATTTATTGTTGTAGCCTGAAACAAACCTGAAATTACTCAGAGGTTTACCTATACTTAAAAAACAATGCCTAAGGCATTCGAGCATGACCAAAAGTAGAACAGACTGGAAAGTATTTGACTCTTGACCAAAAGGAACCACTGAAAAACAGGAAAATATGTTCTCTTTTCAAGTGCATATGTAATAATTTTAGAACCATATTCTAGGCAATATCTTTAAATTTTTTAATTTCAAAAAATGTAATTATTTACAATACAATATCTTTACAATGGAATGAATGCAGAAATCAAAACAAAGATATCTATAAAATTCCAAAATATTTAAAAATTATAAAGACACCTCTAACTAACCCATGAATAAAAGGATTCACAAGGGAAATTAGAACATGTTTTGAATTGAATGAACATGAATACACAATATATTGAAGTATCAAAATTTGCAGAATAGAGCAAAAACATTGCTTAGAAGAATATTCATAGCATGAAATACACACATTAGAACAAGAGAAAAATTTCAGCTCAAGAATATAAGCTTTCACTTTAAGGAACTAAAAAGGAAAAGCAAGTTGAATACAGAACAAGAAAGCAGAAAGAAATGATAAAGATAGAAATCAGTAAAGTTGAAAAAAACATGTCGAGAGAATCATTGAAACCAACACCTGGTTCTTGGGGAAGATCAATAATATGGATAAACCTATAGCCAGTGTGACAGAAAAAGTAGAAGACACAACTTACCAATATCCAGAATGAAAAAGAGAACATCATTAAATATTCTGCAGACAACCCGGTCAGCATGGCTCAGTGGTTGAGCATCCATCTATGAACCAGGAGGTTGCAGTTCAAGGACACATACCCAGGTTGCAGATTCTATCTCCAATGTGGGGCGTGCAGGAGATAACCTATCAATGATTCTCTCTCATCATTGACGTTTCTATATATCTCTCCCTCTCCCTTCCTCTCTGAAATTATATATATATATATACATATATATGTCTATTTTTTGCTTGTCACCTCTCACATATATCCCCTCTACATCCCAACTGTCTTTTCCAGCTCATATGTTTCTAGCTGCCTACTCTAACAAAACTATTAAAACATTAGCAAGTAAAATCCTGTCATATTATGAAAATAAGAATACTATATCATAATCAAGTAGGATGTGTTCCATGAAGGCAAGGTTTTTTTCATATTTAAAAATTAATCAGTGTAATTTACCATACGAAGAGACTATAAAACAACAACAAAACATGATCATCTTAATAAATGCAAAAAAATGCATTTGACAGAAAACTTCTTAGCAAACTAGGAATAGACGGGACCTAATTCTCTCAACCTGACAGAAGGTAGCTATAAGTATTGCACAGCTAACATGACACTTAATGATAAAATATTTCCCAATGATCTAAGGATGAGACAGGGATGTCTACTCATCCTGCCCTATTAATCATCATATTGAAGGTCCTATTCAGTACAATAAGGCAAAATATAGAAATAGGCATACATATTGGAAAGGAAGAAATAAAATAGACTTTGTTCAATATGACATGATTGTGTGGAAAATATGAAAGACTTTAGTTTTACCAAGGTTGCTAGACACAAATTCAATGTACAGAAATCAATGGTATGTCTATACACTGGCAATAAACAATTAAAAATTTAAATTTTCGAAGTACCATTTACAACACCGAGTAATGCAAAGTATTTGTGAGTGAATCTAACAACACATGTGCAATATTTGAATAGTTAAAACAAGGAAACTTTTTAAAAATTAAAGAAGGCATTTATAAATACAGAAAAATTCATTGCTAATGCATTTCAAGACTCAATATAACAAAAATGTCAATCCTCTATAACTGATGTATAAATGAGTATAATCCCAATAAATTTTCCACCAGAAGTCTTTTAAGAAATTGACAAATTGTTTCTAAAATTTATTTGGAAAGACAAAAGAATAAGAATAGTCAAAATGATTTTGAGAAACAATTAGAGGACTCTGGTGTCAAGACTTATTAGAAAGCATACTATTTAATGAATAGTCAAGACTGTGTGGTATGGGTAAAAGGATGGCCATAGAAAACAACGGGACAGAACAGAGGGTCTAGGGTAGAGCCTTTCAACTGTCTCCAGTTGATTTTAGCACACATGTACAAACAATTCCGTGGAAAATGGCAAAAGTACAGGCACAATTGAACATCAATATGCCATAAAAGGGAACCACAACCCATATTAGCATATGTAAACATTTGCTAAAAATAGATCTTAGACTTGCCTTACATTCAGAATTATAATAACACTTTTACTTGAAAACATAGAACATATTCATGAATCAGTCAAAGATTCCTTGTATACAAAACCATGATCCTTTAAAGAAAAAAAAAGTTAATAAATTGGAATTCTTAAAAACTCAAAGCTGCTGCTCTCAAAAGACATTACTATAAAGGTCTTAAAAAATGAGCCAAATCCCTGGCCAGTATGGCTCTATTGGTTGGAGCTTTGTCTTATGCACCAAAAGGTTGCAGGTTCTATTCTAGGCCAGGGCATGTACCCGGGCTGTGGGTTTGTGGCAAGTGCAGAAGACAACTGATCTCTCTCTCTCTCTCTCTCTCTCTCTCTCTCTCTCTCTCTCTCTCTCATGTCCTCAGGTGAGGATTGAAAAAAACAGAAAGAACAAAACCACAATGAGCTATCACTCAACTCCTATAGAATGGCTGAAAATAAAAACAAGAAAAAAAAACCTAAGAATATCATCTACTGGCAATGATATGGAGCAATTGAAACCCTCATAGATAGCTGTTAAGAATGCAAAGTGGCATGTCCATTTTGGAACACTGTTTGGCAATTTCTTATAAAGTCAAACATATACTTCCATACAACTCAGCAATCCAACTAAATTACAACATGTTCACATAGAAACCTATAGGAGAATATTCATAGCAGCCTTTGTTACAATCACCCCACATTGGAAATAGCCACATATTTTTCAGTTGGTTAATGAACAACCATGGGGCATCCATATAATGAGATAATACTCCCCAATAAAGAGGAATAAGCTTCTAATCCACAAAATGACAGAAATGAATCTCAAATGCATTATGCTAAGTGAAATGAGCCATACTCAGAGGCTGTGATCCCATTATGACACTCTGGAAAAGAAACGCTGGTGATGCAAAACAGATGAATGGTTGGCTGGTTGGGGAAGGCGGTTGGAGGTGGCTGTGGGGAGAGTTGATTACAGGAAATGTTGGAGAATAATGAAACTCTTCTATGTCTATAGTGGTGGTGATTACGTGATTAGTGTTTACATTTATTAAACCTCATAAAGCTGTACACTTAAAATGGTGAGTTTTACTGTATGTAAACTATATCCAGTAAACCTGACTTAAAATTATTACTGTGATTTAGAGCATTTTAGTACAACATAGAAAAGATCAGTGAACCGGAAGTCAAAACAATAGAAATCCAAGATGATTTGAAAGAAAAACAATTTTTTTAAGAGGGAGAGACTTGCAACCTGGGAGAGAGTAGCAAGCAGACAAATATACATGTTAATGGAGTTTCAGATAAAGAGGAGAAACAACAATATAGAGTTATGTGAATAAATAATGTCCAAAAACTATCCACATTTGATCCAAAACAACCATCCACAACCACCTAAGTCTAGGAAATTCAGTGACCCTAGGAGGGTAAATAAATTTTTAAAAATACCTGATAATGTGCTGCAATAAAAATAAAGCAGGCAGCAAAAGTCTCCACTAAGGAGAAATTTATTAAAACTGAAGGTAAAATTTAAAAATATATATTTGAAGACCTGACCAGTGTGATTCAGTTGGTTTGAGCATTGTCCCATTGACCAAACAGTGGCGGGTTTGATTTCTGGTCAGGGCACATACCCAGGTTGTGGGTTTAGTCATCTGTTGAGGTGCCTATGCAGGCATCGGATCCATGTTGCTCTGTTACATCAATGTATCCTTCTCTCCCTTCTTCTCTGTCTAAATTTTAAAACAAAACAAACAAACAAAAACATGTCCTCAGGTGAGGATTTGGAAAAAAAAATATTTTGAGATAAAAGCTAAGAGGATTGTCACCACCCTACCTGCACTACAAGAATTGCTAAAGGAAGTTCTTCAGGCTGAAGGGACAAGATCCTGATGGACATTCAGGTCCCCGTGCGAGGAGAAAGAGCACCCTTCTGGTTGAAAAGCAGTGCATTATGGGCCCTATGCATTGCTCAGATTTTACCTCAGAAGGTGTTTTCTTGCGTGTACTGCCCAGCCCAGTGTTTTGTTTTTTGATTTTTCCAATTTCTGTGAAACGCATGTCTGGATCCTGAAATCAATCTAGAGGATCATACCCAGCACTTTACTTTGTAAGAAGCAGAACAGAATGGGGAATACCTGAGTACATGGGTACCAAGACTAACTATGAAGTTTTAACTTTATCTCAGACCTGGGAGATTACATTATAAAATGTGGGGTTTGGCCCTAACTGGTTTGGCTCAGTGGATAGAGCATCGGCCTGCGGACTGAGGGGGTCCAGGTTCGATTCCGGTCAAGGGCATGTAACTTGGTTGCGGGCACATCCCCAGTGGGAGGTGTGCAGGAGGCAGCTGATCAATGTTTCTAACTCTCTATCCCTCTCCCTTCCTCTCTGTAAAAAAATCAACAAAATATATATTTTTTAAAAAGTGGGGTTTGATCTCTGAATTCCAGTCCAAAATATTTGGAAAACGCAGCCCTAAGTTCACTGGCCTTTCTATTTCTTGCACGTTTCCAGTTCTTGCATGTTGTTGATACCTGATAACTTTCTTTCTGTTTGCATGGCTAGCTTATTTTCAACTTTTACCTTTGAGCTCAAGCATTACCTTATTACAAGACCTTCTCCTGCCTTTTTAGATGATCAGGGTACTAAATTAGTGTCAGCCTGAAATTTTAAAAATTCCTAGAGCTAAAAGAACATCCAAAGTTGCCTTTGTACTTATCTCACAATTGTATGTGGTGATCAGACCTTTCTCGAAATGTGTCAGTAATGGGAAAACTTATAGGAAACCAATAATGTATATTGGTCAATCTGTTCTTGGTGGGAAAAGGTTATTAGATGTCTCTATGTCTGTTTACCTGGAATTAAAATGCACAAATAAAGTATTGTTTTAAATTAACATTCTGCCTTCCATTTCTTGCCTCTTTGTACCCAGGGGAAATTACTAATTTGCACTAGTTTTTTCTTTCCCCTGTTAAAAGAGCTTTCCATTAATTCTGGAATTTCTTCACTTTTCAGTGGTCACATGTGAATATCCAGCGCTGGAGAATGGGAGACTGGTGTCAACACTTGAAAAGGGAAAATTTCAGTACAAATCGGAGGTTACGTTCCAATGCAAGGAGGGATTTTACCTTGAAGGCAGCCGCACTATTGTCTGTGGAGCCGACAGTACTTGGGAGCCTAAGATCCCAAAATGTACTGAAGGTACAAAGGGGGTCTTTTTGTGTCTTTTTTGTTTAGATTTTATTTCTTTGACATTAAATATCAATGATATGGAATAATTGAAAAGAAACAGTTTTTTAAAGTAACTGCTCATTTCCATGACAGAGGTATGACATACAATTTATGTTTTCATTGGGTCTTTACACATACGTCACACAGGTGTCTAAATTTCTGTTTTCTGGCACTTCTTATGTGTAAAAATGTATAGCAATCATTTTCAGATAAACTGAACCACCATTTCACATTCCCGCCAGTGAGGCATGAAGGTTCCAATTTACCCACCTCTTTACCAATACTTGGGTTTGTTGTGTTTTTTTATATATACTAGTAATCATAATGTATATGAAGTAGTATCTCACTGTGGTTTTTATTTTCATTTCCAAATAATTAGTGATCATATTTTCATGTACTTATTGGTGTTTTGTATATCTTCTTTGGACACATGTCTCTTCAAGTCTTTTGCACATTTTTGATTTGGGTTTTTTCTGTCACTAAGTTTCAGGAGTTCATTATGTGTTTTTGGATATTAATCCCTTTTCAGATATATTATTTGCAGATATTTCTTCCTATTCTATGGATTGCCTTTTCACTCTGTGGATAATGACCATTGTTAAAGTTTTTAATTTTGCTGAAGTCCATCCAATTTATCTATTTTTCCTTTGTTGCCTTTGCTTTTGGTGTCACACTCAAAAAATCATAGATTCAACATCATGAAGCTTGTCCTCTTTGTTTTTTTCTATACATCTTATAGTTTTAGCTCTTATATATAGTTCTTTGATCCACTTTGCATTCATTTTTGTATATGATGTACGATAAGGATCCACCTTCATTCTTTTATTTGTAGATATCCAGCTTTCCAAGAACCATTTGTTGAAAAGATTGCCCTTTCCCCATTAAATGTTCTTAGCACCCTTCCATACAATCATTTGACTATACATGCACAGGTTTATTTGTGGTCTCTGTATTCTACTCAACTGGTCTGCCTGTGTTTATGCCTGTAGCACTGTGATTTTGATTATTGTAGCTTTTGAGTAAGTTTTAAAATCAGAAAATGTAAGTTCTCTCAACTTCGCTCTTCCATTTTAAGATTGTCTTGGCTGTACCTAGTCCCTTGAGGTTCCATATGAATTTTATTTTGCATTTTTCTATTTCCACAAAAAGCATATTCAAGATGGTGATGGGATTGCATACAGTCTGTAGGTTTCTTTGCGTAGCATTCACATCTTAACTATATCATCTCTTCCAATGCATGAGCACAGGATATCTTTTCATTTGTTTATATTGTCTTCTATTTCTTTCAGCAATGTTTTATAATTTCCAGTGTAGGAGTGTTTCACCTCCTGGTTAAGTTTCTTCTTTAAGTATTTTACTTCTTTTTTATCCTCAACCAAGGATATGTTTATTGATTTTAGAGAGTCTGAAATCAATAAACATATCCTTGGTTCAGGGAGAGAGAGAGAGGGGGAAAGAGAGAGAGAGAGAGAGAGAGAGAGAGAGAGAGAGAACGAACATGGATTGGCTCCCTCCTGTATATGCTCTGACTGGGGATCAAACCTGAAAACTAGGTATGAGCTCTTACCAGGAATCCAACCACAACCTTTTGGTGTATGGGACGATGCTCCAACCAACTGAGCCACTCTTATTTGATGCTATTGTAAATAGAATTATTTTCAATTTCTTTCTAGTTTTCTCATTGTTAGTGTAATGAAATGAAACTGATTTTTACTTGTTGATTTTGAAAACTGCAACTCTGCCAAATTTATTTATTAGTTCCAACAGGTGAGTGTGTGTGCATGTGTATGTGCATAATCTTTACAGTTTTCTGCTTAAACTATTATGTCATCTGGACAGAGGTAATTTGATTCCTTCCTTCCCAATTTGGATGCTTTTTTGTTCCTTTCCTAAATGCTCTGATTATAACTTTTTATATTATGCTAAATAGAAATGTCAAACATGGTCTTTCTGTCTTCTTCCCGATCTTAAGGGGAAAACTTTTAGTCTTTCATCATCGAGTATGATGTTAGCTATTGGTTTGTCATAAATGGGCCTTATTATGCTGAAATTTCTCTGCATTACAGAATAACCTCTAAATCATTTATTAAGCCCTCCTGTATCATTTAATTATAAGTAGAATCTCATTTAATATATAGGCTAATATTGAGTCTACAGTAATGACAAATTTGCATTCTGTACCACAGAATATAGTCACAGGAAATGTTACTAGAGAGGAAGAAGAATGCTGATGACTGAATATTAATTTATAATATGTATAGTACTACTTTAAATGAAAAACATTAATATGATTTATATAAGGAAAATAAAATTATAAGAGATTTTGTATGAAGACCAAAAAAAAATCCAAACCTTTGAATTTAGGATCTGTAAGCTTTACTATTTTTTTTACTTCTTTTTAAAGTTATTTTTTTGTTGTTGTTCTAGGAGATTCCAGCCCATGATAAATCACCAACTAGAGCTGATAACTGAGGTATTATTTTGGTTATTAAAAACCCTCAATTATGGGACCTTAGAGTTCTCCATGGAAATATCATATTTCAATTATCTGTGATTCAGGAAGAAACAACCTGTCATGTGATAATTGACATTTGTATTTCATTTTATGTGCAGATACCATGACAGATGGAAGCAGTAGTATGTGTAGACACAGGCAGATAACACAGTTTTTAAGAGGTTCCTCAAATTCAAATTCCTAGTAGGTTGAGGTAACTTTATCAATTGCTGTGTTTATATGTAGGTTAAAATATATAAAACCTAACTTGCTTTCCATATGATAGTGCTATTTTGTAATGGCAATTTGTAAATAAATATTCTTTCTATTTATACCTTGTATACACAAGCATTAGTTAGTGTTTTTTTTCTAACAGGCTGGTGTATCACACTTTATATAGGCTCACAGAGTTCACACAATATATGTTGAAGGAAAGGATCAAATATGGTTGTGGCAGTTACATGAAATTTTTGATGAGTGAGTAAAGAAAAGTAAGCATTACTTTTCTTTACATTAGGCTAGTTTAATAAGGTTAGTCTTGTTATAAAATGCACGTCAGTTTTTCCCCTCTGAACACTGTGGTCAAACTGTCAGTGTGCCAGTAAATTCAAAGCACCTTCATTCATTAAACACTTGATAATTTTTTGATGAAATATAAAGAGCAAAGGTAAACATGCCAATGTATAATTTGACCTATAAAATTTAATAAAAATAATGGCAGTTCGGGAGCAGAGGTACTACCAAATATTTCTAAGATTTAAGATTTTGTAGTATTATTTACTAGAGGCCTGTTGCATGAAGAGATTCGTGCAATAGGCCTTCCCTTCTCCTGGCTGCGGGCACCAGTTTTCCTCAGCACCCAGGACCCAGGCCTTTGCTCTGGCCCGAGCCGTCTCCCGTCTTCCGTCTTCGCTGCTCCAGCTTGCCTTCAGTCTTCCCTCCACCACCGCTTGGAGCCTACATATGCAAATTAACCGCCATCTTTGTTGGCGGTTAATTTGCATATCGCACTGATTAGCCAATGGGAGGCATAGCGAAAGTACAGTCAATTACCCTGTTTGTCTATTATTAGATTAGATTGCTTTCTGGACAGTAAAAAAAATGCATGTTTAAGTTTCTATGCATAATTTATTCATGGTGTTTCATTTGCATTCTTAAAATACTCTTGGTAATTAAAATTGTGTCTTATCTGGGGATGGGGTTGCATGAGGAAGGATTGATAAAATAATGTATTGTCTGTGAAAACTGCAAAATAGGTCGATGTGATCAATTAATAGAACTTCCTTAATGACTTATTCCACACTCACATTTGGGGAACAATGTAAATGAAATTTCTAACAAAATCATGGAATAATAGACTGAATACTGAATTAAACCAACTGGAATGGGAAAATACCTTCTTAAAATGATTTTCTCTAATGTAGTAAATTCTAATTTTTATAATAATATTTCCTAATTTTAATAATTATTCCAATTTTTGTAACGTGGTGGGGCTACTACAGCACAAAACAATGACAAATGAGGTCCTATTAAAAGTTTCACAAGTTGGACCCTAAGCCTGGAATCAGATTAGAAGGGCTCTGTGATCAAAATGAGCTGGATGCACTAGCAGTCACACTAAACTAGACGGATGAACATTTTCTTTGCTGTAGTTTATAGATGATCTGATCAAAATTAAAGTGTGTCAACTATGGAGACCCACGTGTGCTCAATTACCTTCAAACTGGTTTTATTTTTTTCTCAGATGGAGGACTCATTGCCGTGATTGTTCTTGCAGTAGGTAAGTGTCCCAAACTTGGATGCCACTTATATCAAAATATTAATGTGTACAAGTGCATTTATAGTTATTTTTTTTCGTTTCTACAGTGTTTATAGCTTAAAATTAAGTAACCCAGTCTAGAAATACCATATCCATTATCTGATATTCTACCTTGTGTTGGTGATTGTATTTTCTCTTGTATGCTATACATCCACTTAGTAACAAATCCTAAATATCCCAAATATGCTTTGAGTAATATTCTAAATTAAGCACAGACACTTCTCTGGCTTGCTGCAGACCCTAACTGATTCCAGGGAACTACATTTAGACAGTGAAGAGTCCAGATAGAATATGAATGTATGTGGGCTTAAATAAAATAATATTTCTGCCCACTGAAGTGTAACCAACAGTAATTTCTTCTGCTAGGTTTGAAACTTGGTATTAGTTTTTAGAGTTACATGTCATTTGTCTTCTGGTTTCTTATAGATCTTGGTGTTGCAGTGGTTGGCACCTGTGTGTATAAGTGTCTTCACATCAGGAAGAGACAGTAAATTAAACATGTTTCTTAAACTTTTCAGTCCTTCTCATCTTGATGTACTTGTGCAGCTCTTGCTTGCTGTCTGCATTGCGTGCTGCCTTGTTAAAAAATGTCCTTGTGTGAGTGTGCTGTCAGAATTGCATTCCTTACTAAAATATTTTCACCTACTTTTAATATTATTGTAACCAGGCTAACCTGTGCAGAGTTGTTTTAGCTTTTATGACCGTCAGAAAGATTCCTGTGGGGGGTTGAGGTTTAAGTTCTGCAGAAAATCATGGCTCATTATAGTGTCTCTGTTATGCCCGATGTTCAGGGTCCCCAAAAACCACCAGGGAGCCAGGTCCGATGCAAAACGCAAAAGAGCCTTTATTCGAGCTAGCTCAAGCTCCCCATCCACCACACTCGCCGACGCAGCGGCAGGAGGCAGAGAAGAAAGAGAGCTCTGTGGGGAGAGGGGTTTTATAGGGGGGTTGGAATAAGGGGAGGAGAGAGGACTGTGGGCCCTGCCGATTGGCCAGGCGCAAGTCGGGGTCTTGTTACACAGGATGTGGTCGTATCTATGGCGCGCACTTCCCTTGATCTCCATTGGTTAGTTTAAAGAAATCCTAGGTGTGGCTAGCAGAGGCTTGGGCTTCCGGGAAGAAGCTCCTTGCTGAGCACATGGCTAATGGCTGCTGCCCAAAAATGGAGGGTCCAGGGCAAGATGGGGGGCGTAGCCCTCGCCCTTTCAGTCTCCTCTACCCTAGTTTTACACTATTCCTTCAGTGTATTGGGAGCCAGATTCGTTATTTTTTTAAAATACCCACAGTGCCATCATTTGAATAATATTTCATACAGTAGAACTCATGATATATACATTTGATTTCTCTCTCTGTAGTATATTTTTAACATCACATACACACAGTACTCTGAGTAGAAAATGCTCTCAGTGGAATATTTTTACAATTTCAAATGTTTCACATAGAAATAACTTCTAAAGAAAGCAAAAATAGCTTTGTGTTTCTCATATTCTTTCTTTGTTTAAAACATTAAAGCATATACAACTACTTAAAGGTTCTTAAACAAACATGAATCAAACCCTCTGGCTACCAGGTAAGGGCTCATTAAAGGTGAAGAGGTGTCTGAGCGCGGTAGCCCTGGATTCCAGGCTCAGGACCACAACTGACCTGAGGTCCGTGTCTGCTGAGCTCCAAGTGCTGCTGCTGCTGGGCCGGGACGCCTGTGAGTAACCAGGTGGAGACCACCGTGGGTGTGCGTGTGTTCTTGAAATATGAATAAGCACCTTCAAGTTTATGAGCAAATGTTTCTCCTGTTTTAGGTCATTGGATTTTTTAAAGACTCCTCATCTTGTGTACATGCTCCAGAAAGGATGCAGAGTAACACTTAGCTTTAGCTTTACCTCCTTTCCTTTAGGGAAAGTAAAGATTTTCATTATATTCTTTGCACCGCTTAATGTCCATAATTTCCCCTCAAAAAAAAAAAAGTTGACTTCCATCGCCTTAGAAACTAGCTTATTAGACTCTAAAATGTATGCAGATACTTCTCCATTTGTAGGGGTAACTATTGATATGGAATTTTTGGACTGGATCCATCTGCCGGAGTCAAGAATGAATCCATGGACAGAAGATGGTATAGCAAAGGTGGAGATTTACTGAAGAACAAGTACAGACTCCCATGTGGGGGAAGGGAAAGATGCCCACTGAGTTCTTTTTCCCTATGGCTTATAAAGGCTGCAGATCCTAGTGCCTTGATATTCCCTCTGGTCACTATTCTTTTAGACTGGTTACTATAGTAACTCCTTCTGGGTGAAGGGCTTCCTTCCCTTTTTCTTGTAAATATAGACCTTTCGCTATATTCAGCTTCCTCATTCTATGGAAATGTACCTGTTGCAGCTTTTCAGCTCCCCTATTCTATGGAAATATACCTTCCGCTGCTCTGCAGCCCTGTGCTTCCTCCATGGTCCTCTTAATTTCTAAAATTTCCTAAAACCTGTCTTTTCACCCCCCAAAATTCCTGTTTCACTATGGAACCAGGGTACTAGTCATAGATAATCAAATGTTATTGTTAAAACTTCATACCAAATGCATTGATGTAAAGTTGTACTTATTATGATTTGGAATACAATTACTCATCTACAGCCTTCATACTAAAGTAGAAAAATAGCATAAATAGTCATTTATTATTATATTAATTTTTATTGATTTTATAAAGGAAGGGAGAAGGAGAGAGAGAAACATCAATGATGAGAGAGTCATTTATCACCTGCCTCCCATACAACTCCCTACCAAGAATCTTTCCAGCAACCCTGGCATGTGCCCTGACCAGGAATCAAACCATAAACTCGTGGTTCATAGGTCAATGCTCAACCACTGAGCAACACTGGCGGGATGATAAGTACTAATTTTTTAAGATTATTAAACATATTTAAGTGGCTTGATAAAAAATGGCCAGGAGGTAAGAGATATATATCCTACCACTTATACAGTGATGGTGAACCTTTTAAGCTCGGCGGGTCAGCATTTTGAAAAAACCAAACTTAACTCTGGTGCTGTTTCACATATAGAAATTTTTTATATTTGCAACCATAGTATAAGAAGATTTATATTTTTGATACTTATTTTATATATTTAAATGCCATTTAACAAAGAAAAATAAACCAAAAAAAATGAGTTCGCATGTCACCTCTGACACACGTGTCATAGGTTCACCATCATTGCAAGCCCTCTTTCCATCCTTGGTTATTGGGGTTCTCTCCAGCTAGTCTTCAGTTGATTATTGAAGGTGGTTTTACTGTATTTTAGTTGTAATTCCAGGAGAGTGTCAGAGTAGCTTCCACTTACTCCACCATTATTTTTCAAAAATCTATAGTATAAAGTCTTTACACATATGTCTATACCACCTCAGCCATCAAATTAAAAACAAGAACACTGAAAATTGAGAATTTGAAAAAATTTCACTTCCTTAACTAAAATATTATTAAAAAATAATCTTACAGTAGATTAGGTAAAATTCTATTTTGAAAAATATTTTTGTAACTTCTTTGTACTGAAACAGGAATTTGGGGGGGTGAAAAGACAGGTTTAGGACATTTTTAGAAATTAAGAGGACCATGGAGGAAGCACAGGGCTAGAGAGCAACAGAAGGTATATTTCCATAGAATAGGGAAGCTGAAAAGCTACAACAGGTACATTTCCATGGAATGAGGAAGCTGAAAATAGCAGAAGGTCTATATTTACAAAATAAAGGGAAGGAAGTCCTGCATTCAGAAAGAGAAGAAGAAACCCCAAAGGGAAGAGGAAAACAATAAAGAAGGAAGGGGTGGAAACCTCACTTGTCATGTGAGGTTCAACCTTTGAGCTCATAAGTTACTATAGGAACCAATCAAGGGAATAGTGACCAATCTGAGGGGTTATCAAGGCACCATGATCCGCAGCCTTTATAAGCCATAAGAAAAAGGAACCCAGTGGGACCTTTCCCCTCCCCACGTGGGAGTCTGTGCTGTAAGATTCTTTCCCCTTCCTCATGTGGGTGTCTGTACTTGTTCTTCAATAAATTGCCACCTTGGCTATAGCACCTTCCATCCATGGATTCATTCTTCGCATCCCACGGACAAAGAATCCGGGAAACAATCCTGCCCAGGGGAACACCACTTGTTCCAGTCCAAAAATTCCGTTTCTGTAATTTAGAGAAGCCATAAAGTTAATGTCTGGCATTTGTTCTCCACCTTTTCTAACATCAACAAACCCATCTAAGAATTAAAAACAATTTAGACTCAGTTGCTTGCTTCTGTGAAAAGTTAGAGGGCGCTAACACTCCTAACACGAATGCCCGCTTGGTACAAAGTGAACACTGTGGCCTTGTAGTTTTCTTGGGGAGAATTCCCCTCTTTAAGAGAGAACATAGAATGCGCTCTGAACTCTGGCCTAGGGAGTTTGCTCTCCTGGCTTGAGTAAAAAGCTCTCTCACTTCAGTAAGGCACCTGACAGGAGGCAGTTTTGTAGGGTAAACCCATCAGATATCCCAAGTTGCAACAGAATTAGTCTTTGTGTGGGACTCACCTCACCTGCTAAAAGGCAGAGTAAACCTTAAGCCATGTATTTCAGGAAAGAAAAAAAAACCGACACAACTAAACTTTGTGTATTGGCTGTTGGTTCTATGCAGAGGAGAAAAATCACGTAGCTCAGGTAGCACTTTATGCTCAGGTGGACCAGAACCCTCCCTCTTGGAGTCCTCAGACCTCCCAGGGTCTCTTTTCAAAGGAGCCATGGGCAAAGGGGAGGGGCTGCCACTATAAATGCAATTACATTCTTAAAAGTTTTGTTTGCAGTTTTATAAAACTTAGTAGAACAATTTGGGCCAAAAAACTTTGCCGTGCAAAGGAAATTATTGAGAAATCAGAATGGACCAGAGTGAATACTGTTTTACACTATAAAGACATTTTATTATGCCTTACGTCAGTGGTTCTCAATCTGTGGGTCGCGACCCCTTTGGCTGTTGAATGACCCTTTCACAGGGGTCGCCTAAGACCATCCTGCATATCAGATATTTACATTACGATTCATAACAGTAGCAACATTACAGTGATGAAGTAGCAACGAAAATAATTTTATGGTTGGGTCACAACATGAGGAACTGTATTTAAAGGGCCAGAAGGTTGAGAACCACTGCCTTAAGTGTTCCTTCTCTTGCTCATCTCTGGTGAGGGACATTAGGAAGATGAGGTTGAGCAGAAATAATCAGGAATTCTGACTAAAAAATAGAAGTATTACTGCACTCATTTTCACATACTTATTTTCAAGAATGTAGTGTTTGCTTACATTCTTGAATTAATTAGAAACATGGATGGTTGTACTATTTATTTTTTAAAAGTCTTGGGAATTTTTCAAAGATTGTTATGCTTCCCAATATAAACTGACTTTTAAGATAGGTTCTAATTCATATTATTTTCATATGTGAATATGTTTACATGTGAGATGGATATAAGTATAACTACCATTTATGTTCTCGTGTCAAATAGTTTCTTAATTACTGAAATATAGAAACCAGTTTACTGTGGGAAAGGTTGTTTAAATGACAGAGATGGAAGTTTATTTCAATTATAAGTTTCTTAAACTGGAAGAAATGGGACCCCAATGTATGGTTTATTTTCTGGAAAATGTGATCTTCAAATCGGGTAAATACAATGCCTCAAGCTGGGTGATAGGACACCTGGGCAGAAATCAGACAAAGCTTCACCCAATGGGCATGAGGCGCTGGCCCTGGAAGATGCCCAGGATCTGAAAAAAATTTGGGATTTAATTGTAGAACGTCTTCAAGCATCACGCTGAGGAACTTGGATTTCTGCTGCTGATCAATGTTTCTAACTCTCTATCCCTCTTCCTTCCTCTCTGTAAAAAATCAATAATATATATATTTTTAAAAAATCCTAACCTCCAAGAGGATGGCATTAGGAGGTGGGGCCACAGGGAAGTTACTAGGTCAGAGGGCTCAGGCTTCATGAATGGGATCCGTGTCCCTATAACAGAACCCCAAGAAAGTCCCTCAGCCCTCTGCCTTGTGAACGTACAGCTAGAAGGCCCTGTCCATGCACCACAAAGCTGGCTCTCACTAGATGCCAACACTGCCAGGGCCTCCATCTTGGGCTTCCCAGCCTCCAGAGCTGTGAGGAACGCGTTTCTGTTATTTACCAGTTACCCAGTCTGCAGTATTTTTTCTAGAGGCCCGAAGACACTGTGAGGACAAAGCCGCCTACAAGCCGAGCCACAGGCAGGTGGTTATTAACCCTGGCTGCGCATTAGCATCACCTGGGATGAGTGTGAAACAAACAGCAAAAAGCAAGCCCAGGTCCCGCTGCTGGGAGAGTGCAGGCAGCACCTGGAAGGGTGGTGGCTAAGCAGCACTCTGCACAGGCTCCTTGGGTGAATCTGATCAGAAGGTAGGGAGGAGCTGTCTCACGAGAATAATCCCAAAATACAACTTTTCTTGTGTTCAAAGAAAACTCCTAAGCTCCCCAATAGATGGACACACTATCCCCCCCTCCCCATACACACACACCCCAACACTATGCCAGCTTCTCAGTGAGACCTGGGCCAACACCTCACGTGAAAAATTACCGGGCTGGAGATTTAACACATTATTTCACGTAAACTGTTTAGATTTGTGTCTCGGGCTTATGAAGAACGCCTCAGCCTTTCTTTCCACAGGTGGGAGCTATTGCCAGTACAGCCTGCACGAGGCCGGGTGGGGTAGATCTGGACCAGGCTTGGCTCCCTTCCCTCCAGGGCCAAAGCACAGCCCAGGGCGGAGGCCCCGCCCTGCAGATTGCCATTGGCCCCGCCCCACTCCGCTGTAAAAGCCCAGGCCACGCCCACAATCCATAATGCACGTGACACCTTTTGAGTCTGGGGATTGTTGCGTCTGGTAGCCGCCCTCAAAAAGGCAAATTACTCCCTGGCCCTCGGGTTTCCCTCTGATGTGGGGAACATGAGGGCCTCCTATGAGCCGCGCAGGGCATCTTCCTGCTGCCTGGAGAGTCCCTTTTCTTGGGGCTTCCTGGGGATCCTAGTGCTGGCCCTAGAGCTCCTGCTACCCACATGCTCAGGTAGGGAAGGGAAAGGGTGTCAGCTCTGGAGGGAAACTAGAGCGGGTAGGGGAGCTGGTCTACAGGAGCGGAGGGCAGAGGGAACTTTGCTTGGTGTGTGGGGAGGAGGCTCAGGGCTTGGTGGACCCAGGTGATGCGGGGTTAGGGTAGAAGCCTTAGCCACAGATCCTCCAGGTTGTGCTGTGGCGGATTCAGGAGGGTGGGACCTTCAGGGTCCGTTGTTTGGTGGTACACAGTGAATCTGGGGGAGCCCTGGGTGTAGTCAGTGTTTGCCCCTAGCGAAAGCTTGCAGCTATTTGAGGACTGAGCTGATCAAGAACATATATGCATAACCCATGGACAGGAGCCCAGGCCAGGGGTTACCAGGCATATGCTTTACAGAAGGGTCCAAGTCAGGGGTGCAGGGTGTGGGGCAAGGAAGCTCACTGCTTGCTTTGTATGGGGTTTGGGGAGCGCATGTTACCCAGAGAGCCCTTAAGTGAGAGCGAGCTCCAGGGCCTGGGGTTTAGAAGGATTGGGAAGGACACGCAGTGCTTTTTGTACAAAAAGGTAACAGGCTGCTTGTTGCCCCCAATCATATAGGTATTGCTTTCCAGGCTGTTGCGCTTTTGTTTTTTTTTTACCATTGAGTCACCTTCCTATTCCAATATGGATAAGGACCTATGCTACTCCCGAATGTCTTGTGGTCAGTGTTTTTTCTCATTTTTCATTAGGTTGGGTCCCATTTGAGGGGAGATTAGAAGCAACTGGAAAAGTACTGGTAGCCAAACCTAGTGAAAAATGAGAGTTATTAGAAATGAACAATAAATTATACCGATAGGTTTTTCTCCTATAGCTGATAAATTAAAGCTGAAGGCCATCCACTAAGTTTGGTTCCTGTTTCATTGAATACAATCAATATTGTATACATATATATATGCATATTACAAAACATACCATCGAAGGGCAACGAATGAATACTTTGGTGTATTTCCAACTGACTTTATATGCCTGTGTTTCTATTCCCAAGTGATATTTAGGATCCTATTACATATACAGTTTGTATGCTGCATTCTCTCCTTAGGTAGGAGAATTCATTCAATAAAGATTTGCCTTGTATGTGCCAGGCCCTGTGCTGGTTCTGGGGACACCCTGGTGACCAATAACAAGCCATTCCTATTTTCATGATCCTTATTTGACACTTTGCCTGTTTGCACACGCACACACATGAACATAAACAGCGACTATGTTTTGCTCACTGTCAGATCCCCAGTGTCAGGCGCACAGTAGGCAATCAATAAAGATTTGCTGAAATGTACTGGGACTGGCGGACAGTGCCCAGACCACAACGCTAGTGTTATAACGCCAGTCAGGTGCCCTGGAGGAAGGAGCATGCTTCTCTGAGAGCCTTTAACAAATGACTATTGGGAGGGAAGGCTTTTCTGCTTAGAGGCTTTGGAGCTTACTGTCCCCAGGCTCCTCCTTTCTCTTGCATAATTGGCTCCTTGTCCTTCAAACATGGTTGTTAGGTTACACCATTAGGGACCTTCTCTGAGAAAACTATTTCAGGGAGACCCACACACTCCAGCTCAAATTCCCCTAACCTTTTGTCCCTCTTTCCAATCTATATGTTCTCTCCTAGCTCTACTAGAATACAGAGATCCTTTCTGTCTCGTTACACTTGTGTTTGCAAATGCTCAATGTTTTTGCCTTGGTACCACCACTCTTCTATAACTAGTGATTTCCAGAAAAATGAAATATAATATTCAGTAGGAGCTGACAGGCCAGTAAATATTCAAATCCAACAGAAAAACAAAAACTACCTTGAGGAAAATGAAAATAAAGAATAAAACTAAAACCTTACAAAAGGTATGGGATACAGCAAAAGCAGTTATAAGATGAAAGGTTATAGCTATACCGGCCTTCATCAGGAAAACAGAAAAAACTGTGACTTCACTCATGTGGGATATAAAACAAAAAGCAACAAATGAAAAAAAGCAAACAACACAACTCACAGTTACAGAGAACAAAGTGGTGGTTACCAGAAGTGAAGTGGTGAAGAGGTTGAAGGGAGATGAGGGA